CTCTGATTTAGGACCGGCATTGCGTATAGACGCTAACACACACACATACACACGCGTACACAAGTGAGCAAAAGTAGCAAGACCAGTATAAAAGATAATTAACCAAACCAATCTATAGCGATCTATCTAAGTTTTTATTTTATTTTGCTTAATCGAGTCTATAAAAGAGTTAAGAGATAACCGGATAATCTTCTTGCCCTAGTGCTAACGTGAGACTTTTACAGGAATAAAACCCAGATCTGACGATTTCCATCATATAATGGGCGAAAGCTCAGCCGGTTTTCAGCCGAAACGAGGGAGGAGGTCTCGTGGACTGCGTCAACCTGAGCGTCGTATAAAGGCCAAACGGCTGCAGTACAACGGGATTCATCTTTCCTCTTCTGATGAGATCGACCTACGAATCTCTCCTTCATGCGATTTCATACGAAATGAAAGTCCCCCAAACAATGTTATCTCAGAAGATTCATCTAAACCCAGTTTCTCTTTGTATAAGAAGATACACCAAAGAAGAAATTAAACAAAAAATACACTAAAATTAAAAGTATATTTAATGAAGCAAAGTTGTGTTTCGAGGAATCTTCTGATTTATAATTGCTGAGTTCACGCCCATTTCGAGTGAAGGTGTGCTCGCGAAGAGATTTGAAGGTCGATCCTCCGAAAGACGACGGTGGATTCTTCTTGATTGGAACATTCTTGTTCAGGTTTTTTTCAAGGCAATCACCTTTAATTCTGATTAAAAACGTGCTAACCTGTCCTCCATGGTATGATGGACATCATCAGAGCAGAGTGCCATTCTTAGAACCGTATTCAAGCTAAAGAGTCAGATATTGAGGTGCAGCGGTCTCCCTTAGCCCAAAACGTACCCAACTTCCAAATAAAGATAGCCTTGCAAAATTTCCCAGATTTCCAACACCAAAATCTAACCTGAGTTCGGGGTTGCCCAGACTGTGAAAGGATTGGACTGCGCGCTGATGAGCCTGCCCGTGGCGGTACTCGTTGCCGACCGACAGCCTCGTTCTTGTGCCAGAGCCCAATTCGGTGGTAGGAAACCAGTATGGTCCAAAGCCTGCGACAGAGGCCGAATAGACAAGGCAACAAGCGATTGGCTGGTAGGAGCTGGGTAAAATAAGCAGAATGAGTGCATTTATGCATTTGCAAGGACAATAGCAAACAAAAGCATCTCACCAGATCCTTGTTACTACAGTGCCTTATTCTTACGGATGAGTTAATGTTTCAAATACCGAAATTTAGTCAGTAGTGAAAAAAAAGACAAAATAATATTAAAAGTAGGTGGAGCAGATAATCCTATGATTGAATTTTCCTACAACGCTATGTGGAGACCTTAAGATTCCATTGAAGTTTACATTGACTTGTTTTACAAAAGGCATTCGTATCCAAAGTGGACTGCAGTTTCGACCTCGTGTTGGACTCCAAGGAGACTCGAACCATGACAATACAGTGTATAATCTCGACACGTTAATCACTACACCACATTTCCACGAATGCCTTTGGGTCTCACATGGCGAATGTAAAATTCAAGGCAGGCCGGGCATTTTTCCACATCACATTCTATAATGGGATTCTCGATGAAGTAAAATTATATAGCAATCAACTGCATTACTCATTTTTACTTTGTAAGTAGGCTTTTTAGACTACCAGTGTCGAGATTATACGTGCGGGAAAATTAAACTACCGGACGTTCATCAACATAAACGAAATAGGGTGAATACATTTCATATATCCGATTTAGTATTATTCTCGAAAACATATCTACAAACGAAAAATCCCAGGATGAGATTTTATAGAAACCTTGGTTGGAGGAAGTTGAATGATTTAAGAACTATTGGTAGTCTCGAAAACAACTTATATGGAAATCAGAGTAGAAAGTATTTGGCCAACAATACGAAAAGGGTAATAAAGAAAAGAAGACTAACTAAGGATTGACTAAGGATTGCACAGATTCAGATATCATAAGCCTTGCCACTAGGAAAATCGCTGGGTTAAAGCCTCTCACTTAGCAATCCCAGACTTAATTATGATTTCCCCTTTTCCGTCATGTTTCATGAATGGTTTCAGGCCGATCCTGTCTGCATTGGCACTTCCGGGGACTAGTCATGTAGTCGTGATGGCAACACCCATGAAGATTGTCAGATGCACCTCAGTGATGCCTTCATCCAAGAAGAAGTTTGGAGATCTTCTCTAATTGCCAAGCTTAAATAGTAAATCTGCCCAAATTCCTGGTTCTCTTTCCCATTGCGACTGGAGTACACTTAAGAAAGACTGATCCGAAGCCAAATCTTCATGCTTGTACATAGTCAAGTAGCCTTACAAATGAAGTAAATGTGTACAGAATTGTGTCAAACTATTTGTCAGAACACTAAGTAAAGCCATTGCATACAAGGCTGGCGCACAGACTTAAAAATGAATAAACAGACAAGCAAAATCGCTGTGTGACTCGACTTTTTAT